AGTTCCCCCCCTCTCTTTGGTTCTAGGGGGGCACACAGGCCGTGTCACCCTACAGACACCCCCAGCCCCAACTCTGCCTCAGTTTCCCTCACCTGAGACCCCACAGGGATGGATAGGGACGCCCCCAAAGCACCCCAAAGCACCCTTGTGCCTCAGTTTCCCCCTCTGTGGTTCCAGGGGGGGCACACACACACTGTGCCCCATCTGTGCCTCTGTTTCCCTCACCTGAGACCCCATAGGGATGGACAGGGACGCCCCAAAGCCCCCAACAAGCACCTTTGTGCCTCAGTTTCCCCTCCTGTGGTTCCAGGGGGGGCACACGCTGTGCCCCAGCCCCATCCATGCCTCAGTTTCCCTCACCTGAGACCCCACAGGGATGGACAGGGACGCCCCCAAAGCACCCCAAAGCACCCTTGTGCCTCAGTTTCCCCCTCTGTGGTTCCAGGGGGGGCACACACACTGAACCCCATCCTTGCCTCAGTTTCCCTCCCCTGAGACCCCATAGGGATGGATAGTGACGCCCCCAAAGCCCCCCACGAGCACCCTTGTGCCTCAGTTTCCCCCTCTGTGGTTCCGGGGAGGGGGGAAACCCACTGTGCCCCAGCCCCAGCCGCCCTAAAACCACTCTCAGCCCCATCTGTGCCTCAGTTTCCCTCACCTGAGACCCCATAGTGATGCCCCCAAAGCACCCCACAAGCACCCTCGTGCCTCAGTTTCCCCCCTCTCTTTGGTTCTAGGGGGGTCCCACAGACCGTGTCACCCTACAGACACCCCCAGCCCCAACTCCGCCTCGGTTTCCCCCACCTGAGGCCCCACAGGGATAGATTGGGACCCCACAGGGACCCCCCAAGAACTCCTGTGCCTCAGTTTCCCTCACCCAAGGCCCCATGGGGAAGGACTAGGATGGCCCTGGCAACCCTGTGCCTCAGTTTCCCTCCCCAGGGGGGGCACACACGCTGTGGCCCAGCCCCAGCCCCCCTAAAAACACTCTCAGCCCTATCTGTGCCTCAGTTTCCCCCTCTGTGGTTCCAGGGGGGGCACACACACACTGTGCCCCATCTGTGCCTCTGTTTCCCTCACCTGAGACCCCATAGGGATGGACAGGGACGCCCCAAAGCCCCCAACAAGCACCTTTGTGCCTCAGTTTCCCCTCCTGTGGTTCCAGGGGGGGCACACGCTGTGCCCCAGCCCCATCCATGCCTCAGTTTCCCTCACCTGAGACCCCACAGGGATGGACAGGGACGCCCCCAAAGCACCCCAAAGCACCCTTGTGCCTCAGTTTCCCCCTCTGTGGTTCCAGGGGGGGCACACACGCTGTGCCCCAGCCCCAGCCACCCTAAAACCACTCTCAACCCCATCTGTGCCTCAGTTTCCCTCACCTGAGACCCCATAGTGATGCCCCCAAAGCACCCCAAAGCACCCTTGTGCCTCAGTTTCCCCCCCTGTGGCTCCATGGGGGGCACACACACTGCCCCAGCCCCGTCCGTGCCTCAGTTTCCCCCTCCCGGTGCCGTACCCCGGTCTGGGCCATGCCGAAGGGGCCGGGGTTCATGCCGAGGAAGAGGACGCGTTTCGGGGTGCGGCAGTAGCGGCGCACGAAGTCGCAGTGGGGCTCCCAGGCGTAGTCCAGGGGCCGGTAGACGTGGCTGACGGGGTCCCCGAAGGGGGGCAGCGCCCGCAGCAGCGCCTCCTGCTCCCGCTCCAGCCGCAGGAACCGCCCCGCCAGGTCACCTTCATCTTCATCATCCTCCTCCTCATCTTCTTCTTCTTCCTCCTCTGCCACCGGCACCGGCTCCGCCACCGGCTCTGTCACCGTCCCCTCCATCCTGCCATCGCCTGGTGTCTGCGGAGGGGAGGGAGGGGTGACAGGGCCAGCCCCCACGGGGGTGACAGGGTCACAGCCCTCAGTGGGGTGACACAGCACCCCCAGAAGGTGAAACGTCCACACCTGGGGGTGACAGGGCCAGCCCCTGGGGAGCGACAGGACTGGCCCCCGGTGGGGTGACAGGGCACCCCCAGAGGGTGATAGGGCCAGCCCCAAGGGGGGTGACAGAGCACCCCCAAGGTGGGGTGACAGAAGACCCCCAGAGAGTGACACTGACAGCCCCTGGGGGTGACAGATCCAGCCCCAAGGGGGGGTGACAGGGCCAGCCTCAATGGGGGGTGACAGAGGACCCCCAGAGGGTGACAGGGCCAGCCCCCAGGGTGGGTAACAGGGCAGCCCCTGGGAGGGTGACAAGGACAGCCCCTGGGAGGGTGACAGTGCACCCCCAGAGGGTGACAGGGCCAGCCCAAGGTGGGGGGTGACAGAGAACACCCAGAGGGTGACAGGGACAGCCCCTGGGGGTGACAGAGACAGCCCCAGAGGGTGACAGGGTCACAGCCCTCAGTGGGGTGACACAGCACCCCCAGAAGGTGAAAGGTCCACACCTGGGGGTGACAGAGCCAGCCCCAAGGGGGTGACAGGGCACCCCCAGATGGTGACAGAGCCAGCCCCAAGGGGGGATGACAGAGGACCCCCAGAGAGTGACAGGGCACCCCCAGAGGGTGACAGGACTGGCCCCTGGGAGGTGACAAGGCCAGCCCCTGGTGGGGGTGACAGAGGACCCCCAGAGGGTGACAGGGCCAGCCCCAAAGCGGGGTGACAGAGGACCCCCAGAGGGTGACAGGACTGGCCTCTGGAGGGTGACAGGGCCAGCCCCAAGGGGGGGTGAAAGTGCACCCCCAGAGGGTGACAGGGCCAGCCCCAAGGAGGGGTGACAGGACTGGCCCCTGGGAGGGTGACAAGGCCAACCCCCAGGGGGGTGACAGGGCACTCCCAGAGGGTGACAGGGGCCACCCCCAAGTGGGTGACAGGGCCAGCTCCCGGTGAGGTGACAGAGGACCCCCAGAGGGTGACAGGGCCAGCCACAAGGGGGGGTGACAGGGCACCCCCAGAGGGTGACACGACTGGCCCCTGGGAGGGTGACAAGGACAGCCCCAGAAGGTGACAGATCCAGCCCCAAGGGGGGTGACACAGCACCCCCAGAAGCTGAAAGGTCCAGCCCCAAGGGGGGGTGACAGAGGACCCCCAGAGGGTGACGGTGACAGCCCCAAGGGGGGGTGACAGAGGACCCCCAGAGAGTGACAGGGCCAGCCCCAGAGGGTGACAGGACTGGCCCCCAGTGAGGTGACAAGGCCAGCCCCCGGTGGGGTGACAGGGCACCCCCAGAGGGTGACAGGGGCCGCCCCCAAGTGGGTGACAGGGCCAGCTCCTGGTGAGGTGACAGAGGACCCCCAGAGGGTGACAGGGCAGCCCCCGGTGGGGTGACAAGGCATCCCCAGAGGGTGACAGGGCCAGCCCCAAGGGGGGGTGACAGGACTGGCCCCTGGGAGGGTGACAAGGACAGCCCCCGGGGGGGTGACAAGGCCAGCCCCAGAAGGTGACAGGGCCAGCCCCTGGGGGTGACAGATCCAGCCCCAAGGGGGGTGACAGGGGCCACCCCCAAGTGGGTGACAGGTCCAGCCCCCGGTGGGGTGACAGAGGACCCCCAGAGGGTGACAGGGCCAGCCCCCAGGGTGGGTAACAGGGCAGCCCCTGGGAGGGTGACAAGGACAGCCCCTGGGAGGGTGACAGTGCACCCCCAGAGGGTGACAGGGCCAGCCCAAGGTGGGGGGGGACAGAGAACCCCCAGAGGGTGACAGGGCCA